AAAATTGCCATGAACCATGGCATCTGCCTCACAGACAGGTGCCTTCAGGCTGTGGTTCAACATTCAGCTGAAATCCTGAGTAAACTCACCCCTTCCTGTCTTCAGCTACTCAGCTCCACTGTCTTACCTTTCCAACCCCGACAAATCTGCTGGCAGACATTTGTGACGTTGCACAATCAACCAGATTAGAGAACCATGCTGGCTGAACAACAATCCAGTAGGAAAAAAAGGAAAAAAAAAAAGTTCACAACAAAGTTTGGGTTTAAGCTGGATCCCGATGCAGGTCACTGAGCACCGTCACAAATGTGCCACCCTAAAATTGCTAAAAGGTGAAGACAAGTGGGCAGAAAAAAAAATAAGAAGTTGTTCACCAAACTGAAGTAATCTCCTTCCTGGACAACTCAAGTGGTCATTAATGGAATTTCTGAACAAGGGACTGAGGCTGCTCACAACTGCTCTAACTTGGTACAAGTGCGGCCACGGCTCAAAGGGCCAGCCCAGTTTCACTCACTGCTAGCCCTGTATCTCCCCGCCACATTTATGCTCACATCTGAAATTACCATTTTGTGTGCATTACTGGATGCCTCTTACCCTCAGCAAGCTGATCACAAGCGTTGGTACAAAAGTGGTTGAGGGGTTCACTCTTTTTGTGACAGTGAAGTGGCAGCCTATGCAAACAGACAAGAGAAACCATAAAACCAGCAACTGCACAGTGCAGCCTGGTGAAAACAAAGTCCCAGTTCAATTGCTGCTCTGAGGGCCTCAAGATAGCAAGCTCCAAGCTAGCAGTTTAGTTACCAGTGAGGCAGAACACATACACTTGCCCGCTCCAGAATAAAGGCAAAACTCTTTATAAACTCTTTTGTGAATTTGTGACTTTAATTACCATTAAAAAAAAATATATTTAAGATCTGATAATTAATTTCACAATTCTTGACACTATATAAACCAGTGGGTATTTAATTCATGGTAATAAGAACATAGACAAAAACTGACTATAAAAAGTAGACGTGATGATCAATTAACACTGTCAAAACAGTATTACATTGAAAGCTTCTAAATAATGACTGAATTAGCCTATTTACTTGAAAGCAGTGTGTGAGAAAATATTACTGGAACCTACTATTACAAAAAAAGCACTGGATGGGCTGGAGTGGATGTCACCGCAAGTTTCTGAAGATGTAACTGTTCAGGTACCTTTGAAAAAGGAATATGGGAAATGAAGCTTCAGACAGGCATTTTCAAAAAAGACATGTCAAACCAAGCTTCAGACACTCTGTTAACTTTTCTCAAGCAGCTACTGTGAAAACTGAAGTCTGACTGCACTGCTGTCTCATACCCAGGCTTTCTCTAGAGCCTGTTAGCTTGGGTGGAGGCTGGAAAAAGTGCAACACCCTGGGAGACGCAGCACTAGAAAGCTCATTGAACCTCACCTGCCAAGTCTGCAGGCAAGCACTTACAGATTTCCAGGGACTCCTGCAGCAGCATGAAGTCTACAAGACCCTACTCAGTCTCACTGATCTTTTTCAGACTGAAGGAACAGTTTTAAAACTGCCAAGCTGCTGATTTCACAGCACACATGCTACTTGAAAAAGCCTTGAACAGAAGCAACTACCTCCAGAAGTAATTCATGTAAGCACACAATAATTTAAAAGAACGTAAGATTAGGGTTCTGTGACTTGTTTCTCCATAACCCACCTGTAAGTTGTTTGACCATTAAAAAACTGCAAGTACCCAAAATCTTGAAAACAATTTTGAAATTAATGATCGTCCAGATCAACCATTAAAATTCAGAAAAATATAACATAACATACAGTGGTTAATGAGTTACTGCAATAGCAGCACTAAATCTAATTGTGCTTTGTTGTCATGATGAGTGACACAAGCTTAAGGAAAGTCTTTCCTAAAAAGAAAATAAACAAATGTGTTTGTCAGTGCAATTAAAAAATAATAATTTAAAAAAAAAAATCATATTGCCAACAAATGCTGGAATCCTTTACATTCTCCATGCCCATGTTTGCACTCTACAAACGTCTCTTGGGTCTAGTTGGTTCTGTAACGTCTCCCATTACACGTACCTTCCTTGCATTTCTCAGAAACTATAGAATTTATCAACCCACTGTAAATTCACTGTCTGCACAAGTCATACCAAATCATACAGATCTGACTTGTCAACTTCCCATCAGTTAGTAATCCCAACCCATCTGATTGCAGACATAGATGTATATCAAATATTATGTTTAAACGCACACTCTACAGCATGAGAAGGCACCTATTTAAATATTCATTTTATAATTCCTGTACTAACTTGCAATAGATTTAAAACAGTATTTCCAGCTAGCATATATTGCTTTTGCAAGTAATCCATGATGCATACATTATATTCTTCTTACAGGAATATTGAAAACTTCACACAGGCACTGTGCTTCCAGTGATGATCTTTATCATGAAAATTACTAGATATTCTTCTATAATTTATCCCCAAGATACACATTCTAAGTCATGTTTTTATACAAAGTGCCTTTTGTGGGAGCACTGAAAATGGCTTCTAACAGTTTGGTCTTGCCATTGCTACAGATTAACAACATGAAATCCGTCCAACCAGCAAGCAGTCCTAAACAAGAATTAAAATTACTTTTCACCAGGGGTCCTAAACCTGGAAGTTGCAGTCTCAATCAGATTAAAGATAGAAACTCATGAACATCCTGCTCTTTTAATACTCTCAAACAGGAAGGAAGCTTCAGCTCACGTGCTTTCCAGAGCAGCTCTTTAGCACTCAAAAGCTCAAACTCATAGCAGAACCAGGGTTGTACAGTGGCCTGGATGTTAAAATAATCAACCATGATTCAAATATTAATTCTGCAGATAGGTAATGCTGTATTTCACTGTTACAGTCAAGGCTGCCTTCAGATTAATGGAATAAATTCTTATTCTTAATCAAGCATCACTGGGACAGCGTAACAGTAATTAATGAAAATACATATGCCTGTTTAAATGCTGTTATATAGAGATACAGTTCTGCCTAAATAACCTATGTTATGATGCTCATACTACCATTACTGGTCTACCAAAGTACAGCATAACTGATTCTCCCTCATCTTTGTGCTAAGACCAAAACATAAGCATTCAACTTCAGCCATTCTGTGAGAAAAATAAGTCTTTGAAAAGAGGCAGCTGAAATTAAAAGACCTCCTCCATCTTAAAATGCAATATTTTCCTAACTGAAAATACTGCTGTAATCCAATTATATATATTCATTGCATACAGGGAAAGTCTACTATATCTTTATCATGACACTCCCTTGTAACAAAGATACACAGTTCTTTAGTATAATTTCATATTGAAGCTGAAGCGTTCCATTTTTTTTTAGCAAATTTGCAGATATTATGTAAAGTTTCCCAATGATAAAATATAATTCTGGTATATCAGCCTAACAGAGGCTTAACTAATGGTCTCCTGGGCCTCTTTTCTACTGGAGCAGATCTGTTTAAGAAGAGAGTCTTAAACTTGTTTACCAAGGGGCCTTACCATGAACTGGGAATAATCCTGTGTGGTTACAATCGACACATTAGGCCTGACTGACACTAATGTACCAGAGAAAATATTCGTCACCAAATTCTACCACCCTGAAAGTTAACTGCAGGAGCCCAAGCAGATGAGTTACTATCACCAATTACTGGAATAACAGTTTACTATCTCTGCAGAACAGGCAACATTGAGTATTCCACCAGATCCTCTTACTGTTCATCCATATTAAGGGGACAGCTGGTTATGTACATCACTTCATAATGACAGTGAGCTGTTCAAAAGTAAACACAGTCCTACACACTCTATTCCTGGCAAGGCACATTTTACATCATGTATGTGTTACCCAGTTTCCTTACCCTAACTAAACCTGCATGTGACAAAGCAATACACACTGAAGTCCTTGGTTATAACCAACGAGCCCTAACGTGCATCTTAGAAGCAGCTCTAAGAAATTTTAACCATGTGAGAAAAATGAGCAGAAAAATGGAAAAGCATGGTGCCTGTGCAGATATACTTGTGCCACTGACGCACTGAATGTCCCCGTGAGCTCCTCCTGCACCCACACAGTCCTCGCTGCAAGGCTGGAACCTACAAGCCCAAGATCCCACTTGTTATATTAGCAGGGCCCACTCGCCTCAGATCACAAGCGTAACCTGCAGGAAATGTATCCCAAGTTTCGAACTACAGCCATACGTGGAACCAGCCTCCAAACTCCCAGGTGTCATTTCTGCTTGTCTCTTTCCAACCTGTTTCAAATATAATCAATGTTTTTTAAAACAAGGCATGATTTTTTTGTTTACCTCAAGTCAGGCAGGAGATGACCCAGTTCAACGGCACTGGCCGGGCCCTGCACAGGGCCTTACTGGCAAGCCCGCATTTTACAACAGTAGGTGACCAGCCCTGTGGCTGGAGAAAACATGGATAGGGGGAAGGAGGGTGAAAACACACGTGTGGCAGAGTGCCGACTGCAACGCTCCCCACGGCGTTTCAGGGCGAGCACCGAGGCAGCGGGCACAGCGCAGGCCCCGCTGCCGCCAGCCCCAAGTCACCCCTCTGGCGTGCATCGCTTTAAACGGCACTTCGTCACCGCCACAGCTGCCAACAGCTAACGGGCTGCGTCAGGGGCCTCCCAGCGCCCCTTCTCCCCAAGAAGGCGGTCTCTGGGCGGGCTGGCAGGGGGTCACCAGCCCAGCTCCTTGCGTTACCGGAGCTGCTTTCCCGGGTCCTCTCGCCCGGCCACGACCCGCCTCAGCAGCCAGCCCTGACGTCAGCGCCGTCACGTGCCGGTCCGCCGTACACAGGCCCCGGCGATTGCCGCCCAGGGGCCGCCACCGCCCCCCCTCCCTTCCCCCCCCCCCCCCCCCCCAAACCCGGAGAGCCGCTTTAGCTCCCCCCGCCCCCCCTGCCCGTCTCGGGCCGCAGCCTCTACCCCTCCTCCCGCTGCGGTCCGGCCCGGCGGCCTTGGCCTTTACCTGTTCATGCTTCTGGCGGAGGCGGCCCACCAGCGCGGGGCTAAGCGGAGACGCGCCGCCGGGGGCTTCCATGCCCCACAAGCCGGGCCGGGCCCGCAGTCTCCGAGGGAGCCGCTTCGCAGCGCGGAGGAGAAGGCTAGAGGCAGCAGGCGGCCGGGCCGGGCCAATCTCCTCAGCAGGGCGAATGAGTCCTATAGAAATGTTTGTGGAGGGCGAAGCGCCGGCTACAGAGCCGCATCCACGCGGGGTCCACCGCCGCCTGGGCCCGGGTCGCCGCTGCCGGGGGAAGCATCTCACACTCGCATTCTGGGCCGCGCCGCAGCCTGGGCCCGGATCCCGCTGCGCCGGCGGGCCGGGAGAGCGCCGGCAGCTCGGTGCTGGCCGCCGTGTGCTGCCTCCTGCCTGCTGCACTCTGGGTAGCCAGCCAGCACGCCCGCCAGCCCGTCCGGCGGCCCGCTGCACCCGCGGGAGGCACCCGGCTGCGAGCCGCGAGAGGCGGGCGCTCCCCACCCCCTGCCCGGCGGCCCCGACGTCTCCCTCCGCCGCAGCGCCGAGCGAGTGGCGGCCACAGTATGCCGAGTGCCACCTCCGGGCACGGGTATCCTCCGTCATGAACTTGTTCAGAGCACAGGCCCACGCCTCGAGCGCAGAACATCGCATCCAGCCTCCCTCCGTAAGGAGGTTTGATCGGCCTACAGTCATAGAATCTTAGAATAGTTACGGTTGGAAAGGACCTTAAGATCATCAAGTTCCAACCCCCCTGCCATGGGCAGGCACTCCTCATACTAAACCATGTCACCCAAGGCTCTGTCCAACCTGGCCTTGAACACCGCCAGAGATGGAGCATTCACAGCTCCCCTGGGCAACCCATTCCAGTGCCTCACCACCGTCACAGTAATGAACTTTTTCCGTATACCCAATCTAAACTTCCCCTGTTTAAGTTTGAACCCATTACCTCCTGTCCCGTCACTACAGTCCCTAATGAAGAGTCCCTCCCCACCATCCCTATAGGCCCCCTTCAGATACGGGAAGGCTGCTATGAGGTCTCCACCCAGCCTCTTCTCCAGTCTGAACAGCCCCAACTTTCTCAGCCTGTCTTCATACAGGAGGTGCTCCAGTCCCCTGATCATCCTTGTGACCCTTCTCTGGACTTGTTCCAATAGTTCCATATTCTTTTTATGTTGAGGACACCAGAACTGCACACAATACTCCAAGTGAGGTCTCACGAGAGCAGAGTAGAGGGGCAGGATCACCTCCTTCGACCTGCTGCTCACGCTCCTTTTGATGCAGCCCAGGATACAGTTGGCTTTCTGGGCTGCGAGCGCACACTGAAGCCGGCTCATGTTCATTTTCTCATCTACCAACACCCTCGAGTCCTTTTCCGCAGGGCTGCTCTGAATCCCTTCTCTGCTCAACCTGTAGCTGTGCCTGGGATTGCTCTCACCCAGGTGTAGGACCTTGCACTTGGCATGGTTAAACTTCATGAGGTTGGCATCAGCCCACCTCACAAGCGTGTCGAGGTCCCTCTGGATGGCATTCCTCCCCTCCAGCGTATCAACCGAACCACACAGCTTGGTGTCATCGGCAAACTTGCTGAGGGCGCACTCGATCCCCCTGTCCATGTCAGCGACGAAGATGTTGAACAAGACCGGTCCCAACACCGATCCCTGAGGGACACCACTCGTTACTGGTCTCCAGCTGGATATCGTTGAGCCATTGACCACAACTCTTTGCGTGCTGCCCTCCAGCCAGTTCTCTATCCACTGAGTGGTCCATCCATCAAATTGATGTCTCTCCAATTTAGAGACAAGGATATCGTGTGGGGCAGTGTCGAAGGCTTTACACATGTCCAGATAGATGACATCAACTGCTCTACCCCTGTCCATCAGTTCTGTAGCCCCATCATAGAAGGCCACCAACTTGGTAAGGCAGGATTTCCCCTTAGTGAAGCCATGCTGGCTGTCACCAAGCACCTTGTTGTTTTTCATGTGCCTTAGCATGCCCTCCAGGAGAATCTGCTCCAAGATTTTGCCAGGCACAGAGGTGAGACTGACTGTTCCCTGGGTCATCTATTTTCCCCTTCTTGAAAATGGGGGTTATATTTCCCTTTTTCCAGTCTTCGGGAACTTCACCTGACTGCCATGCTTTTTCAGATATGATGGAGACATATATGATGGACAGTCATAGAATCACAAAATAGTTTGAGTTGGAAGGGACCTTAAAGGTCATCCAGTTCCAACTCCCCTACCACAGGCAGGGACACCTTCCACTAGAGCAGGTAGCTCCAAGCCCCTTCCAATCTGGCCTTGAACACTCCCAGGGATGGGGCAGCCACAGCTTCCCTGGGCACCCTGAGCCAGGGCCTCACCAGCGTCACAGGAAAGAGTTTTTTTTAATATGTAATTGAAGTAGACAGAACTACAGGTCTTTTATAACAGGGAGGTGATGTAGCAATAACTGATCTCAAGAATCACAGGCTGGTTTGTGTTGGATAGGGCCTTAAAGCTTAACCAGTTCCAACCCCCCTGGCACAGGCAGGGACACCTTCCACTAGACCAGGTTGCTCAAATACCTGCTCTGCAGAACCTTTGCTGTCAGGACACCTGACAGTGAATAAAGTGTAGGCTGCAATGACTGGAAGGATTGCAAAATGTACTTAGATGCACTGAAATCATTTAAGGCAACACTAAGGCTTGACTACATGAAATGTTACTGTGTGGGAAGCAAGTGGCATGCAGCCCCTCTAGGACTACCACAGCATAATTTATGTGCAGTAAATTCATTAGCTAGTATTGTCAATGGCATGAGGCACAGCCAAAGTAATGTTCTGGTAACTGAGTGGAGCCATACTTCAACAGCATGCTGGAGCACAGCATCACTGAAGATACTTGACATAGGGCTGACTGGCTGCTTCAATTGCAACACGTGTATTTTACCTTCTACACACGGAACACCACCTTGGGGGATTCAGTTGTGTCTATTGCTGCACCTTTCCCTTGAGTGAGCAGGGAGCTGTGAACACCCAGCATACGTATTTGACAGTGGAGTAGAGGGCCTTACACTGCCTCCATGACAAGGACTGGCAGGCATATCACTAGGTGGAAGTAAAAAGGTGCATCTTCCCTGGATTTACATCGGGGATGGGGTGTACTTCTGCAGAACATTTCCTTTCCATGAGCAGAACTAACCCTGCATACACCATGAAACAACTGTGTTATATACAGGAGACAGTATGTGCTGTGTACTTCAAATCCAGGTTCCCATCCCCCTTAAAGAGCCTCTTAAAGCTCTACAGATGAGGAATTTAGAAACAATTTTCAAAGCATGGTTACTCAAGCTGGAAGTTAGCTTTTAGCCAGACTTTAATACATTTTCCAATATTGCAAATAAAAATTTGCAATTGCAGCTGGGTAGTTTGGTTTATGAAATAACTACATCCATAATCTTCTAAATGCTCATAGTAAATAGCTCTCTTTCAGCCTGCTTAGAACCTCTCCTAAACTTTTCTTCAGTTTACAGGGCTCGCAGAGGAGATACTACAAATACAGGTCATTTTAAAATGCTCTAGTTTGATTCAATTTCACCTCAACTTGATTGGAAGACAAAACAGATGCACAACATGCAGATACATAGAAACATAGAATTGTAGAATGGTTTGGTTGGAATGGGTCTTAAAGATTTATTTATTTATTTATTTTTGTCCTGACACAACAGGAAAGCACTTACCTAACAATAGGAGCCACAAAGTAGGAATTTTCTATCATGAGATGCTGATTTCTAAGTCAAATGTAAAGGCATGAGATTGTTACTTGCCTGTTTTAAAGACTTTGCCATTTCCCATGCCACTAGTACACCATTTAGTCACTAAATGTATTGCGTTGAAGACTTCTGACAGTTGGCCAAAGTAAGAGGCTGCATCATTATGAGAGTAATGACTGTGTGTTTGGTTGTACTGAGGGTAGTATGGGATAGTTTACTGTATCCTTTTATACAGTTTGTTTTTCATCTGCCAATAAAAGAATATTCTAATAGTAACAAACAGATGGGACACAGCACTTGCCAAAAAGGAACACAAAGCCTGTCTCTGGGTTACATTCTTCTGCACTTATAACCTGTACAAAACCATTGTCACCAATGAAATTCTATGAAATATAAAATAAATCAAATTGGAATTTGGCCTTCTGAGTCTAGATTTTTGTTTACTATTTTACTACATTAAATCATTTAGATGGCCTACCAGATGATTTTCATAAAACCTTAGGAAAACGCTGGGAGAACTCTAATTAAGTGAAGGAAAGGCAAATAAGCAAAGCTTACATGCTCCCCTCCAAGCGGATGGCTTACCAGTCAGCAGATATGCCTGTGCTGTAGCTGAAGATGTGTCTGCTGGCAGGTCTCCTACCAGAACCCAAGCTAACTAGCTTTTGAGAATGAGAAATCAGTGCGTATTTTTGGCTTTAGTATAAACAGGTCAGCCCTTCCTGTGAGAGCAGAGGATTAGAAGCAAAGTTTTGGAGAAGTCAAGTTAAGTTTGCAGCAGAGAATCTCACACCAGGGCCCTGGCTCAAAGACATTCTTCTTTGGCAAAGAAGTCTGTGCCTTCTCCCATACTCCTTAAATGTCGTTCACCATTCCGCAAAGAGGGCAGGCACAAGGGAAGAGGAAAACAAGAAGATGACAAAAAGAGGAGACCAATGTGGGAAAATACCTCAGGTGGTCATTCTGCTGAGAAAAACAGAGGTAAAAACATGACACCTGTTTTGCAAGACCAGAAACTTTAGTCTGAAAATATGGATTGCAACATAAAATCATGGATGAGGAGAAGAGGATTAAGAACCAGGTCATCCTTGGAGCTGACATGTGTGCACATACGTGCAGAGCTACACCAAGAACAAGAGTTGCGTTTGGACTGCCTGGAGAACGAGTACTGAGGAAAACTGACAGGAGCTCATCGTTATCAAGTCGGAAAATAAGGTACCCTGAGACAGGCCTCCTGCAAGAGGAGTGCGTCTTCGGAAAACAAGGTATGACCTGTGAAGACCAGCTCTGTTACCAGCACATGGAGACAGTCTCATAATGTGAGCAGTGAATGAACTTCCCTAGTGGACAGCAGACTCCCTGATCTGCTTCAGGA